TCAGAAAATACATTAAGCAGTTTCTTTCCCAATAAAATGACATCTGCAAAATGCACAAAAGCGAGCGGAAGCTGAGTTAATACATCAACACATTTTTGTTTGTATAACTGAAAATCACGCTTGAGCTATGGATTAAATTGGACCTTAAAAAAAAATGGGGTGCCCTCACTGAAAAGCCAGGTGTGAGTATCTGCAATGATCAGGGAGGTAAACGGAGATTAAAAAAAACAGATGTTACAACATTTGGTTTAAGACTGTCCCATAGGTTTGTAAATCATTTCCTCCAGAAAGAAACTTATTTTCATCTTAGTTTGATCCAGTCACAAATAGGATTCACTGGATATTACATGGAATTACGAGAATAGGGTTTTCCCCCCCTCCGGAACATTTGGAAGCATTCCTCCCCTTTTGCATCCCTCTAAGACTGAACAGCTTGCCCTTCACTTCAGACCGCAGCAGCGTACAGCAACAGGCCAGATGTTTCAAACCTAGGTGATGAGGTCATATCTCCTCCTGAGCTGGATTACAGGGCGTACGATGTGTATTGAAAACAGATCTGAACGAGCCACCACTTCACGCTCCTCCCGAGGACGTTCAAGACAAACTCTCACTGCTGTGTTTCTCATGCACATCTGTGTTCCAACCTTCCAGGCCCAACAGCAGCAAGCTGCTACCTCCCAGGGCTGAAGTCTGCCATATTTTTGCCATCACCATGGCAATTTTCCAAGAATAACTTCTCTGATCACGGATTCTCTCACACAACCACTGCAGGTATAAGCTTTTCTAAAGCTTACTTGGTGAGCTCCCGCCACAGCCCTGGGTCTGAACCCTCCTAGACCTCAGAGCCACCACAAAGCCCATAGCAGCAAGGTCAGAGCAAAAGTTCAGAAGAAGATAACGCGATCACTGCGCCGTACAAATACCTCACTGAGCAGCAGAAAAACGTGTTATTAATGCGATCCCCTCGCCCTCTACGTATACCTAACTCAACAGTTACGGATGGGTCTCACCACACCACTTCGATTACAAACTGATCTGGAAGACACCGTGTGTCTACAACTATACAAGATGCCAAGTTTCTTTTGGAAAAATGTAAGGTAGCCGAAGCAATTCCGCGTGTCTCTCATATGGGCACAGTAAGACGACTGATACGACAAAAGCAATTTACACCACCTGGCTTTGTTCTGCTAAACCTATCGTACATGCTGTTTGTTCTGGGTTCTCCTGCTGGTTCGAGCTCACCTACAGATACTAAGTGAACTAAATGCTGCTAACTCTTACTAATTTTTTGTTCATCGAGCAGAACAAATCGTCAGCTCTCCAGGAACACATATGATCGTATTTTAGATTTTAAAGTGCATTAACTTTTTAATTTAAGAACTAAGGCTATTAGTTGAAGACTATTTGCCTGGTGTCACTTTAATTAATTTCTGAATTGGCTGTGAGGATGTGCAAAATGGAATGTCTAAAATGCAGAATGAAGGAATGTCAAGCTACTGAAATTGTCCTGTTCTGCTTCTTTATACCCCACGTGTATTTCTGCACCCTGGGGCACGACACCAGCACGTCTCAAGCAGGACACACACCGAACACCTCCTGGGATAAGGAACACTGAAGCTCAAAGGAAGAAAAGGATGAAGTTTGGGAGAAAGGAGGGCAGGTAATCAGAGGAAAGAAAAGAGACAAGCCAGAAAACTTCTGGTAAATCATAAGTATAAAATGCAAAGTCCAAAAAAATTCCCACTGGTCCACAGCTTCAAGTGCTAGTTAATATCAAGTCTAATCATTTTTGCAGTTTGGTATTTTTATTAAACGCGCACTGAAATATGAAACTTTCTGCTCGCAGAACACACATGTAGGTAGACAGCGTTCTTTCCGGCATGATTGCCTTAGTTCCACTAACAATGATGCCAGAAAAACAAACTCTAAATTCAGCGCAACTACCAGGACAGACAATTCAAGAGGGGGGAAAGAAGTTAAAATTGACGCCTGGCAGCATTCTGCAGAGAAGCTGGTATTTACAACTAGTATCACAAAGCTTAAAACATCTCTATCACCTTGGAGATTCTAATGATAAAACGTCATGGTAGATTTATGCCATTTTTTGCTTTAGTTCATATGAAGCTAACAACTTCAGGCTTGGCGGTTCCAGCTTCTTGCAAAACTTCTACTTGCGATTCTGAGCATAAGGCTGCATCAGGCAGCAGTGCCGAACCTCACCTGCAGAGCAAGAATGCCTCAGCATCTGCTAAGTGTACAACAGTATGTGGAAAACAGCAGCCTGAGATGAATTTTCAAAGGGAATATTTAGTAGCCAAGCCAAGATCTAGTATTATTAGTAAGTATATATTAGGCAGCTAAGAATATTCAGTAACTGATGTCTCCGAAGTGCTACATTACTCACTTTCCTTATTATCAATATTCTTCAGTGGCCCTTGGCAGCGTGCATGAGAGTTCAAAACATGGAATAAAAAGCCACTCTCCTGAAAAGGAATGGACAGGTGGGAAAACTGCAGAAGTCTCCCTGATCATAGGTCATGTAACGATGATTGCAAGCTACTGGATTGTTATGACTTCCATTACCACTGAACCATATCGTACGACAGGTTTTTGTGCTCTTATCCCACTACAAGTGCCAAGGAAAATGTATTAGTTTCAACTCCCATTCTTAAACTACAGTTTAGTTTAACTCGTTTTCCTTTGCAATTTTTTTTATGAGCTAATAGCTCACAAAATGGTCGCTTAACACAGATCAGCTGATGAGCAGAAGCCAGTTGAGCCGCAGACCTCCCCTCTGCCCCCTCGCAGAAGAGGCACGGGGAGCTGTTGCAAGGAATCATGTGAGTGCTGCTCAGCCACTTCAGCGCAAAACAGCCCCACGTGGCTCAAACTGCTGATGAAGGTTTCACTATCTAATGCAGAATGGAGAGAAAAATCCCCTAAATATTTGCTAGCTCCTATTTTTTGGTCCACTGGAAAACAGTTAAGCTGCAAATAGTTTTGGAAGCGCACGAGGGCTCCTGTGAATCTGCACAGATGCCAGCTGAAGCGGGACGACGCCTGGTTGCTGATTTTCAAGAGGCAGCAGTTACTCTTTTGCATCAAAATGCAGCTGACTGCATGGAGAAGAAAAATGCCAGCATTTCACCATTTGTTTTCAAGGCAAGTTCAAAAGCAGGGCGCAGAGTACAGCTAGTTAAAAAACCCCCCAACTAGGTGCTGATCTCCTACATACACAGGTACAGTCCCAACCACTCAGACAGAACCAAGGTTAGCCCAATGAAAATAGGATACGCTCTGTAACAGCACGGATGCCATTAGATAGCTAAGCTGATGTTGATTTCAACAATACAAAAAAATAAAACCAGACATCAGTTAAATCCACGCTTTTCTTCCCTAAGCTGTGTGAGCTCTCACACGCTTCCATAAACATCTATCACATGTCCATATACGCACAAGACACACGTAGAGGCACAGCTACAAGAACGCCTTTCTTGCAGGGTAGCCTTACGCTGCGCGTGCTGATGCAACTGCTCAGAGGATCAGCAAGACCATGCTTAGGGGCATGTAGAGTTTGGAAGTGTTTTAGCACTCTAGAGTTTCCAGTTTTTTGCTCCATGACTGTTTTAGCATGAGACACGGCTGAACGCTACTGTTGTGTAAAAGAACTCACCTCCCCCTGCCTAACGTAGGGGGTTTCAGGCCAAGTATTTCCCTTAAAATCAGCATGAACAATGTTTTGAACTGTGTATTTTGATTCTAGTTCAGAAAGAGTGATTCAATTTGTGGGATACTTATTAGGAATAGATATTTCAAGGGGAAAAATAATGGTACTAGGCTACACTGAAAAAAATGCAACTTAAGCTACACACCACTCTTGGAGAGACTAGCACCACCCAGTATCAGTCTTTTAAGAGGGTGTAATGCGGACAGCAGTATCTCACAAAGAAGGAAAAAAAGAACAGTAAGTACTAAACCAAAGGTTCTGACACGTCTCCAGAAAATCACCTTACCTAGTCTCACTTCTGCAAAAGTATTTCTGATTAAAGTCTCCGTAAAGAACACTTAAAAGTGGGGGGGGGGGGGGGGGGGGTGTAATGATTTTTATTTTTTGAATAAAAGTTAGATCATTTCCCCCCCCCAAATACTGTATGTGGTCAAAAGTTCAGAGTACTTGTAGCTTCTCAAGGCCCTCGAGTTCAAGAACCTTCGTGATCTGAGCCTTTTCAATTCAGGGCAGCATTCGAGTTCTAGCCATATGTCTCAGAACTTATTAATATTCAACAGGACAAAAAAATTCATAACATTTATTCAAGTGGCCTGGCTAGAAAGCTTCTTACAGGAATATTTTTGTGCTGGGGATATTTTAATATAGCTCAACATTTAGTAAATCGTGTCCGAGATCAAATGTTAGCAATTTTGCTGACACCTGACATGGAAATTCTGCTAATTTAATCACTTATTGACTCATCACTCAAAGTAAAAGCTTCTTTTTCTTACCTCATGTATGCATAAGCACCTAATAAAGCCATCTTATCAAAAAGAACAAAAGCAGATGTGAAAGATCTGCTTCTCCCAAGACAGCCATATAATGAAAAAATAGCTGCTTAAACCTCAGCAATAAATGTTCTTAGGGTTGCACAGACTGCAGTGCACATCTGGCCATAGCGACAGTTGGTAACAGAGAAAAGAACACACTGTACACAACATGATCGATCCAGTTTGTAAACGTAAGGGTGAAGAGGCCAAAGACCAGGAGGTACGAAACACAGGGAGAAAGAATCTTGTAGGAGTCATGAAATAAGCTTGGTTAAATACTTTGACTCCACAGACAAAATACTTAGCTTACGTTTTAACATTTTGCAAGTTGTTTATTTAAACAGATCAGAACAGATTTTGCTCTTTAAAACAGTCACTTGATAATGTGAGATCATTCCAACTGCAACTTTAACCTTAAAGACCAAAGTAAAACGCTGTTTAAAATGCAGTTCTGTTCCTACCTGCCCATCTTGACCCACGTGAACTTGATGTATCTGCAGGTTTCCCTGTAAAATAAGAGCATTGACAATAAACATAACTCTGGAATTTAGGAAGTTGTTCTGTCCTGATAAAGGTCTGTTTCTCATCTCATTATTAAACAACTTCAAATTAAGGAAATTAATAATTTAGGAAATTCTGCTGAGGGTTATTTTGGCAACCCAGCTACAATTCAATGGTCAGCACTTTAACCACCAAGGATAAACAGACTAAGAAGGAAGAGATTTTTTCAGCAGTAGCATGTTTTACTTTTTGAAAGTCACTCCATAATGTACAGTATTTTTATGCAAAGTTTGCTTGTGTGGTTTTTGAGGTAAGGTTTTTGGTTTTCCTTATTTATAGAAAACTGCAAATTTAAGTCAAACCCTTGCTAAACTCGAATTAGCAGCGTAACACATGTATGTATGTATGGAGCGATATTTACTATTTGCTGTTATAGAGTGACTGCCTATGTAACAGATTTTTTTTATTTTATCAAAATTCGATACCAAAGCCCCAACATAGTTCTAGTTCTATTACAGGAATGACATCTATTACAAAAAATTCTCAATAACGTAAAGTATTTTAAAGGAAACTGTAGCTACAAAGTCTAAAAAGGAAAGCAGTACTTTATAAAATGACGTTTTTATGTATGTGTTCAGCGACGTCCTCTCAAAAGTACACTTAGACAGCTTCCCAAAACAAAACCAGCTTCCCAAACACAGAGACTTGCAGTGAAATAGCACATATCTCTGAGGAAAAAAAATACCAGCTCTTTGATTTGCATGTTTTCTACATTTTTCTCTTACTGGCAGCAGCACTTCCTCCTGTTTGAAGCTGTGTACATTGTAACGAATTTAAAACCAGATGTTTTCATCTGTCACGGACAAATGTAGCCCTTAAAAGTCTCAGATACAGGAACTTCAGATGAAGCCAATGGACACCAGCATGTGCTTGAACCTCAGGATCAATTACAACCAGTATCTGCTGAATCATATTTTTTTCAGTGGCTCTTTACCCAAGAACTGCTTGAGCTTTATTGCAGCACACTACGCATTCCTTTTGACCCAGAACATTTTGATCCATTCTTATTTCTGTCTAGGTCTGACAAGCTCTTCAAAGGAGACTGCCTTTTAACTACAATATTTATGTCATATTTCCAATAATATTTATTCTACAATAGCTCCCTGCGTTAACAGTATGCCTCTGCACCAAAAGTGGGTTTACGAGATGTAATTTCAGGTACTTTGGAAATGGATTAAACTAACCCACAAGCAGATATGCTTAACATTGAGTAAAAATACAGGGAAATAATACAGATTAAAATTGTAGTAATGTATGTAGTCATGAGTTAAAATTCATGTTTAACCTCATTTTGCTATTGCTTCTTCACGTAAATGAACTAAGTGCACAAGAAATCTAACAGCAGTCTTGGCAGGTAGGAGTCTCTATACATTTTTAAATAACCAACAATAACACTCTCACTCAGGTAAATTCAGCCGGCTTTAATGGCTGTTTTGCCCAAGTGGAGGGGGGAGAAAAAAAAATCAAAATCGGAGGGTTCAGTACTGGACTTATCCATTTCCATTCTACTTTACTATTCTTACAGAAAAAATTATGAAGTGCAAATACTGCAGTGCCAGATTCCTTGGTCAGTAACGAAGGTTGAATTCACTTCACTCTGCAGTTTATCTTTATTAGAGGGCGTCTGAAGGTTTCTCCTGTCCAACAGCTCCCACAATTAAAGACACCGACTACTCCGAACACATTCAGTTCATAAACTTAACTACAATAATTTCACTCCACAATGGCAGTGCAAGCACGTAAGCTGGTTTCCTCTAATACTCTAAGTGCTAAATTCCCAGCAAAGACCATCAGCCAAATACAGTGATCATCAGTGTAACGCACACAGAGCTGTCTTGGATGGTCAAGGGAAGGGAAAAAAACCCAACAAACCAAACTACAAAACACAGAGACTGAAATATCGTATTGCATTCACTGCCATAAAGCACATTTCACCCTGGCTCCACCAGAAGCTCTCACTTCTACCCGCACTGGTCTCTGTAGCGTACTGTAGCAGATCGCAGAGGTACAGTTTAGAATCAGGGCCCTAAATTCCTGCCAACATCTGCTCCACGGGCACCCGAATTTTTGGCTCACCTCGCTGTCCTGCGTGATTTGGACTTGCTCGCCTTGAGGAACCTGGGCTATGTGGAGATGGCCCTGTGGGATCCACAACAAAAGAAAACACCAAGGAGCATCAGAAGAAAATCAAAACTAGAGGAAGAAGCTATTACTTTGGATTCAACAGAGCTTAACGTATGGAAGCAAAATGCTTATTCAATGAAAACCACTAAAGATATATTTTTTAAAAAATAAATAAAATGCATCCGTATTTCCCCATCTTTTTATGCAAAGCAGAGTGACTTTTAAGAAAAAATGGTTCATTTTCACGTAAGAGGCAAGAAAATAGGTAGAATGATAAATAACATTAATGTAATACATTTCTCTATAGACAAAGTATCTGCATTTTTGACTGATACACTAAGCATGGGACTAACTTGCTTTGGTAGATTAGCATTGTGCCTGAAACATTAATCCCATTTAAAGACCTTGGAAACTTAGTTCTTAAAACAGATACGCCAAGACTAACTACTGACTAAGAGTGAGGTTTTAAAAGGAATCTGGAAGGATCTGTACATCTTTGTACACTCACGCAGTACCATGCTAAAGACTCTCTCAAGCTGCTCTAAATTGGCACAAAGTCATTAATTTGAATGCAGTTACAGTGGTTTATGTTAGTGGAGAATCTGCCCTAACAGTTTTAATAATGTTAATACTTTGTATTGCTGACCATACCCGCCACTTCAGAATGGTATCAAGCCTACCATTTGATCAAAACATGGATAAGAGTGGACGGAATTCCTTGTGCATCCTGACTAGTCCAGCGAAGTCTTTGCTACTGTGATTTACCTGAAGGGAGATTGGATTCTAAATAACCTACTTCAGGGTTTATAAGGCTTTGTGTTCATTTTAATATGCCTGCATGAGACAGAGATTAAAGATAATCATTTGGAATTCTGTCAAAGGCTCTTCTTATTTTATAACACAAGAACAATTGCATGTGATTTTCAAAGAAACAGAGATCCCTCTATTTCAAACAGTTTCATTTCCTTTGGAAGGAAACTGTCTATTTATAGGGAGAAAAAACATACTGAAAGTATCACTCTGACAATAGGGACTGTATATAAAATTAGAGCACAGCCCAGTCCATGTTGAGATTAGAATCACTTTCCCCCCTTAACATCAACCTCTCAGGGCTCCCAGGAAAAAGCATTGAACATTTAGAAGATCCATTTATAGTGTTTTCAAATATAAGCAATCCTTTCTGACTCAAGGGAGGAGAGAAGAGGTGACTTTGTTCACCTTTGTATCATGCAGCATTCCAAAAAAGAACAGCTCACTCATCTTCTGCAGATACAGAGCTGGCCTTCAAGGACAGTCCTTCTAGTTCGTTCACGAATTCAATTCAATATTGATTTTTTTTCAACCAATTAAGTATAAATAACTACTACCTTGCTAATGAGTCCTAGCCTGATCTTTATGTATCATTCCCTAGAACTGAAAAAGCAATACCATTTCCATCTGTTTCAACCTAGGACCCCTCCACATGTTTGACAAATTATGACAACATTTAGATAGTGGTTGAGGGCCGTAGTGGATTTTTCCGGGATTCCACAATCAATTTAAAGAATAGTTGACAGGTCCAGGTCTTTTAGTGAGGCAAACTTTCATCACTTCTATAAACATATCCACTTTCTTTATTATATCCATGTATTTCATGTAATTTTCCCTTCTACCTTGTCTTTCAAGACTTGAAAAATACTTTTCAGTATTAATCTGATTAAATCAATCATCAATTAAATCTCATAAAAAGATCTATACGGCAGCTAAGAAGCTATGTTCTTTAAAATACATAGGGAAACCAAGAGACAAAGACATTCACACGATAATATTGCGAAGTTATGGCAAAAGTGGAGTGGAAATGGAACCTTTGCACCCAGTTCCTGCCAAAAGAGCATTATTTCACCGAGGATGCTCTCAACTGACAGGAGGAAAAAAAAAGTTTGCAAATAATTCATTGAACTTCTCTTTAGTCCTCTTCCAAGTTTGATGATACTAATTCAAAGCATGTAGGATCTAGTTCCATTAAGCAATCACTTTCCAGGATCAGCTCCTCAACTTCCATTTGAGTCATATGGTATCCAGGTACGTAACAGAAAAAGGGCAAGGCCTTCGAGAAAACAAAAGGGGTGGCCCAGACTTTCCAACCCTACCTGAATCTCACAGCTAATGGTTCCTAGCATCCCTTACACCCACACTCCAGCTTTTTCTTTTCTCCTATTTTATAAGCAATCTTTTTCACTTTGGAAAAACGTGCTCTCTACTGCAATTTCCTCTCTACAACTCTTACAGTTGCTGTCTGGAATTCCTCTCAATCGCTTTCATCTCAAACCTCTTTCACTTCCATGCACGCCTCAGAAAACATTCTGGCTAATATTTGAGTCTTCCTTTTAAGCAACGCTTACAGCTCTGCCAGTTGCCTTCACCACTGCATCGCACATCTTGAAGTTTTCCCCCAATTTCCATGACACTTTTCCCCTCTGATTCTTCTACTGCTTCTCCAGTAAACCTTCAGCAGGTCTTACAGACATCTCTTTTTTTTTTTTTTATAACATTCCCAAAGCATCTGTCCTTCAAAGCCCTTTTTTCTTCATCGCATTTCTGAGCAACGTCACCATTTCCACACTATCTGCAGCTCTACATGACCAGACCTGAGTATTCCCTGTGTCTAAATAGAGAGTTTTCATTCTTCATGGGAAAATTATTCCATTGGGCACATTTGCTCCTTCTCTCCTGCACCGCCGCTCTTACTTGGGGAGAAAATACTATAAATATCTACCAAAGATGCTTCATTATCCTACTCCAGACTTCTTTGTAATGGCGCGGCTAAAACCTCTGCAACAGCCAGACCACTGGGTACTACAGTTTATGTTGTTGACTAACATCCCTCAAGAATTCTTGTTTATTTGCCCATTTCCATCTGTTTCTTTAGCCTAGTTTCTAAGGAAAGTGGGCTTCCATGATCACTGTGCGGAACGGGTACGTACGTGTCTGTGCGCCTTTCTTTTTGTTCTGTGCCTGGCACAGTTGAGCGCTGGCCCATACTCAGACTGCTGGGTACCTTCAACAACACTAACACCATCAGTGGAACAGTTCCTATGTTATGTGACCGTGCATAAACGCTGTAAACTGCAAAGCCTGAAGTTTTTGAAAACTAATGGCAGACAGATTTCACACATTAAATTCTCAGGTTTCTACCACAAAAGAATGAGTGTGCAGATATAATTCAGTTTCTGAATGCCGCGTGTCAGAAATGCCACACAATCCATTATTTCATTATTTTCTTCTACTTTTTTTTTTAAAATTTGAATTTAAAGCAATCCTTGTAGTCAAACATGGGAACCAAAGCCAAGGTGAGTTTTTGCAGAGTGCACTAAAAGCATATATAAAAATAATCACGGCCTGAATTATGGTGGGAGTCTCAGGCTTAAAAACCATAAATCTTTATAACCATTTCTTACATACATGTATCTAAATGAATAAACATGTAAAGGATTCAGCTAACAGATGTTCAAAAATGCCTGAGAATGCACGTTTTTTTAGAATGAAAATAAATAAGTAGAGGCATTCTTGTTTTGAAAGCCATAGCTAGGGAACTACCTCTGAAGTGTAAATCATATGCTCAGTGGGTCTGCTATTATTATTATTATTATTATTATTATTATTATTATTATTATTGCAAGTGCAAGCAAATAGGCAGGCAGAGATCAGTCAGCTCTACATATGTGAGCAAATCCTGCATGAAGATTTTTGCCAAATAACTCTAAAAATTTTTTTCATAAGCCTTCAATGTCTATTTTCTGAAAATCATGCTTAAGAAGTGATGATAGGTCATGTTTTTTTAAATAAAAAAATTAAATTTCAACTGAAGCAAAGTTTGCAATAACCTAGATTGTTTAAAGGGAATAATTTAGAAAAAGTTGAGTACATACTACTTGGACTTGTCCATCTTCTCCTATTTGGTGGATCTGAACCTGCTGAGCATTGGCTAGTGCATAGTGCAGCGCCTGGGGCTGGTTCTGCTGGAGCTCATTAGAAGCTGAAACTGAACTCTGCGAACCCTCTGAAAAAGAGACAAAAATCCAGCTTTATGATATGTGTAGATCTCATGCCAGTGGCCATGCAACAACGCATACTTAAACACTGTGGAAAAGAAATGCAGTCAGTAAGTAGGTGCAGATCATTTATACGTGAATATTCTTAGGCACGTTCATTGCTCACCTGTAGATTTGCTACAAATGCCATAGGAGTTCCAAAGGCTGTTTTGTCTCTGAGAAAGCATACGTTCAAAAAGCATCTTTTAACTCTATATTAAAGACTCTGCAACTGTAAAAGTCCGATCACAGCAAAACCACATCCATTTCCTAAGCAGTTCAACGCTTTCTTTTGCACACCTGTGTAGCTGAGAACTATTACTGCCACCACCACCACAAGGGTACGTTTGAAGCTAAACTGGAATTATCACATAAATAAAGGAGAGCTCTCAAGTGTTTTTCAAGACCATCATCTATAATTCCTAGTGACACACATGAGCCTGGAATTTTTTTTTTATTTTTTTTTTTAACCTCAAACTGGCAGGTTTACTTCTTGACCTCCCACTGCAAAGCAAGGCCTCCTGAAAATGCTCCTACAAAAAGGAAGACACCTGGCTGTTATCTTCGGGTAGCAGTGACAACCACCAGGAAAACCATCGCATGATTTCAAGAGGATAACAACTTGCATTCGAAGCAGACGTTATCAGAGATTCATTTCTAGGTTTTCCTGCTGCAGGGAAAGGATACTTCGAAGTGTGAAAGGCAAAAGGCAAAGAAAAAGAACTAGATTTTTTTTTTAAGCATAAAAGCACTCAAATACTTCTTTTTTTCTTTTAAAATGTGACTTTATGCATCTGGTGTTGGTGATACTGAGAGACTAACAACATCAATAATTCTGTACTGGAAGGCTGAGGTGGAATACCACGGACCAGAGCGCAATGCTGTGTATGGGTCTTCCTACAGGTAAATGTATCACTAGATCCCGACAGATCCTTTTAGGAACCAGGAAAAAAACTTGGGGCTATCGATCAATGACACTTTTGCAGCACATGGGACAAGTTCAAGCCCACACTGCTAGGAAAAACCTTAAAATGTCCCCATGTCCTACTAATCTCATACTAGCATCATACTAAGATTCAGCATCGGTCCTAGTTTTCTTCCCTTTTTTTTTTTCATTTGAGACATCTTGGAGAACGGGACAGTCATCAAGGGCTTACAGAATAATGTATTTGAAGAAATACTTTTTACATACAGTATTCCTGTAAACAATATTAACTTTTTGGTTTTGCTATGCCACAAAAAATACTTTGAATGAAATCTCTGAAGCATTAAGTGCTTTACAATTTTTCTAAATCATTTATGGCTCTGACAATGATTTTTATGCTACAAGGTAATGTAAAACACATTAACATCTAATGGGTAGTAACATTTGATACTATAGGGCTTTTAAGCTGTCCAAATACCAGAAGTGATAATGAAAATATTTAAGAAACAGTGTCACTCCACTGCCACTGTAGATCATTTCCTTACAAGATTTTACGTGTTGCTTAAATAAGCCCTAGATAGGCCTCATCCTGCTCACAGCTGACTGATGTATTTCGGTTTTTAAAATGATGGTGGGTTTTTTTGAACCAACACAGCAGGAAGCCATGTTTCATAGAACTGCAGTACCTCTAGTTAATAGGCTAGGATTTATACTGAAAAGAGAATGTTAGTTGTGCAAGAATGAGCTTCATCCACTCACACAAGTATTTTAATGGAAATGTTCTTTTAATAAAATCATCAGTTTGGGGTTTTTTCATCCTATCCGCAAATGTTTGTGTAGGAAGATAATTTTGAGTTTTCAATCTAAACATGGGAACTGGAAACTAACTCAAAATCCCCAAGCTAGTATTTATTTATTTCTTTAAAAGTTTAGTGGCTTCACAATTCAACCAGACAGCTCTAATTGCATTAACAATCTGCAAAGACGTAACTACAACCAGGACACATCTGCAGCAACTGAGCAAAACCTAACAAGTACGTATTTGTGTCTATTGGACTTACATCTTTAATGCCTTACATTTGACTAGTAGGTAACTGCAGAATGTTTAGACTTTCTTAAATATAGTCCTGGTGCTTACAGTGCGATTCCAGCGTTTCCTGCACGGTTGTACAATGCAAGCTTGCTGTACAGAATTCTGGATGGGATTAACAGATCACAATTGGCAGAAGAGTCCTGTACGTAGTATGAGAAACTGCGCAGTCAACCAAGTAAACAATGGGATTTGTTCAGATTCTGATAGTAGATCATGCTTTCCATTGCCAGCGGCTTCGTCACGGTCACTGAAAGTAACAGATATTCTAGAAAGATCCGTTTACCTAAGCCTCTGTGTCTTTCACTTTTTCTCTCATTTCTATTACTTCAGTTCTAATAGTACTTTATGCAATTAATTTTCTGTATTCTTTATTTTACAAATATCATTTTTTTAGGATGCTAAATGGCTAAGCAAGCCCCCTGTCATTCATCTTGCTTCCTATATGCTACCACTAGTCCATTCTGTTGTGATTCTGTCTTTCCATCATCACAGAATCCCAGACTGGCCGGGGTTGGGAGGGACCTTGGGAGCTCACCCAGTGCCACCCCCCTGCCCAAGCAGGCTCACCCAGAGCAGGGGGCACAGGACAGCGTCCAGGGGGGGTTGAGTATCTCCAGAGAAGGAGACTCCACAGCCCCCCTGGGCAGCCTGTTCATGCTTCCTGGTCCCCTGCTAGGTAATTCAACAGCTGAGTTGAGTTACAACTCAGCTTCTACTCAATCCACAGCATCCAAATACATAATCCTTCATTTAGATGTGTGCGTGTATACACTCATATGCATTGTATGCATATTTAGTAACCTCCCAGCAGTACTTTTCCTGTAGCTTACACCTACCATTACAAACTGCAATGCTGTACTTCTGAGAAAACAGGAAGATGCATCTATAACAAGTATTTCTTTTCTAATTAAGTTATGCAATAGAAGAGTATCAAAGAAATGAGCTGCAGCAGATAAAATATATATTTACATATATATGTACATATTGAAATACATTTTTTAACTGTAAAGTCCAAAAGCCTTTACTTGTAAACCATCTTTTGCTTCACAGATGCCAGAAATTAGGCTGCTTTTCAGAGGTGGGAATAGGAGAGTGAATGCAATCATACTGCACATCTCACATGGTCACACAGATTTCAGTTTGGCTTCACTGCAACAACCACAGTTAGGTTTTCTTTCTTTTATTGCTGGATTTTCGTGAGGTTTTTTTTTTTTCTTCTTAGGAAGAAAGAAGAGAGAGGATTCAACAGTGTCTAAAAACAAAACATCCTTTATAAGCATTGTTTTTCCCCTTGAAATCTCTGTCCAGAAAGAAGTAATATTTATCCATTTTTAAACATTCCCCATTAAAAACAAACACAAACATGAATAGCACACAGCTTGAATAGAGGATAGGTCAACAGTTATAAATCACTATCATGTAAACTATCTAGCCTCACATTTACAACTTTGATACATTAGAGAATCCCTGGCACCGAGAAGCCGTACAGCTGAACTCTTGCTTTGAAATTTTCCATTGCACTCGTTACAAAGGGGCACTTTGACACGAGCCGAGCACCTTATGTAGTGCTGCTACCGAGCACGTGATCCACGGCGGTCCCAGAGCACCCTCCATGGGATGGAACAGCTATGGAGCCACCCACAGAACAGAAGATGGCTCATTGACCATTCCACAGGTGATTAAGCTGTGATACTTCATCACCATGCAAAAAAAACCCCCGACTGCTGAAATACTCCTTCCTCCCAAGTTGAAACTGGATGTTTTACATTTTCCGTTCGTTTAGTGCGTGTGCTTATGAGTCGAAGAGAATTTAGCCTAAGTGAGGCTGTCTTCTCAGACAAATGTTGAAGAGTTGGCAAAATCACCCCTACTGAAGCAGTTACTTCTGTCCCATTTCTCAAAGCTAATCTTCCTCAGACACCGCCGAGCAAGATTAGATTTGTCAGACAAATGTAATTTGTAACTGTTTCAAGACTATGTGTGTTTAATTATCAACTAAGATCAGTTTTAAAATTCCTTACTTCAAAGGCAAAACCTTTGGCATTTTCTAATTCTTTCCTATTCTACTTCATATCTATCAGTTGAGCATCTGGCTTCTCATTTTGAAAGGAAATGTAGGAGGTACAGATTCCGTAGCAGAGGGCATTCATGCTTGGTCTGTCTCCTTACGTGTTGTTATTCAAAACTGTTTTCCTAGTATATAGGCTTCCCAGGCTCACGCTTCTGCTTACAGACTAGGACGTATTTTCTTGCTTCCTTGATGTGTAGTCCTAGCAATGAAAGGTTAATGGCCAGATGCAGCAAAGCAGTCCTCAAAAACAAAATGCAGGAAAAACAGCCATTACTGAACAATTAATAAAAATAAAACTGTATACTGTAAACCATTATCTCAGCCTGACTCATCCAGTGCTAAATGCCTCCAATTTTGCAGAACAGCTTTGAAGATTTGGCTGCACATCCATTTTTATATGTGACATCTCAGCATAGGCTGAGCACTTCAGCCTAAATCTACATATAAATCCCAAAGTCATAGAACTAATTAAAAATTCCAACATGGAAAACTGTGATAACAGCTTTAACAATCTTAAGAGAAATTAAAAGAAAGGGAGAAGGCACTCTTCAATTAATCCTCCTCCCAAAAAACTAATTTCCTACTGCCTTCCCTCCACAGACTGCTAACATTTTTTTTAAAAAGAGTATCTAGCTAAGTCATCATGGCAGCCATGTGTACAACTCTTGTCAGGAAAAAAAAAAACAAGAGAAAAAACACACATTACGGACCAAAGTGTTGGCTCTGAGCAGAGCAGAGCAAACCACTGCAATTAATACCTCAACTCCTGCAAAAGGCAACAACTTCAAACAGAAGAGCCAGATAAAATAGGGAAAACCAACTTCTGCCTAAATATAACAGCCTGCTACAACAACTTCATGCAACCCATAAATCTTGTGGCTACTGTAAAGCTTCACAGTCAATTAAATGTAGAACAATCTCGATTAATATCTTTGGGGGTGAAGGACAGCGAAGACATTCATTCGTATTTTCCTACCAGCTTCCTTAGACATGTTTCTGTCTGCAGATCAGTTCCTCTTGAGCTCTTAACACTTGAACACTATCACAGAATCTCAACGCCAAAAACTTGAAAGGCTTCGTATGGACTATGGGCTCAGCCTCCTGCTTTTCTGTGTCATCTGCATAGCTAATTTTTCCATATGATAAACAAAGCAGAGAGGAAATCTGTTATCATTTTTAACTGCAAGACTCAAATCAAAGCCACGTGCTACATAAACTTTTATGCACAAGTGGAAAAAACCTAAAAGTTTTGACATGTCCACCAAGCACATAAGCTAAGCTCAAGAATAGCAATCCTCTTTAGATGTAAATACAGAAGAATTATTTATTATGTGTGCAAGAACTCATAAAAATCACAAAAGAGATGAGGTTGGAAGCGACTTCTGGAGATAACCTAATCCAATGCCCTTCCCCAAAGCACGGGCAGCCAGAACCGGTTGCTTTGGCCTGCATCCCGCTGGATTTTGACTGTCGCCAGGGATGGCGTCTCTGCAGCTTCTCTGGGCAACCTGTTACTGTGTTCAACCACCCTCAAGATTCCTCAGAGCCAGAGAAATCCAAGTCAGGTCACAGGCAGGTGAGTTTCAGGCTGCTATATTTATTTATTTATTTTAAATGAGGCAAATTAATTGCTGCTAAAAAGCAGCTCTGGAAAATCAAGTCCCCTAATTCACAGGGGAGGATGTCCAGCAGGGCAGTGACCATACTGATTTGAGACTATTTCATGTCTAACCAAAATATTATTTTTAATGATATGTAGAGATGTTCAACAACTTTCACGCCAAACAGAAATTACTGAGTTATTCTAGACTTCTAGCACATTAGCATTTAAGAAAATATTTTGTAACACATAAAAGAACGGCACTCCTTTGCAACACTTGAATAAAGTGCCAATAAATTTCTGCTGATTAAAACATGTTATTATACTACGACGTAACAGAAAGCTATCTTGCTATTATCAGACCCTAGAGATAACAGATGAAAAACATTACTTAAAGGCAATCAAACATAAAAGTTTTGGACTCAAGCCTTTTTTTTTTTGTTGCACCTCTTGGTCATAATTTTAACATGAAATACTACAATCACAAGTTCAGAAGTGGAAAAACCATACCAAACTCTGGGAAAAGTTCATGCAGGGAACGTGGTGTTTGTCCATGAACGCTCAGGATGCTAAAATCATATTTAAACCTCTTAACGATGTTTTCAGAACAGCTCAGCTGCATGGTAAACACTGTGATGCCAGGTGGCTACTCTCAAGGCATCTTAAAAGGAAGTGCTTTCTGAAGACTACATGAATAACTTCTAAAACTTCCCTAGGAAATTGTCAGCATTTAGTTAAGAATTGGTGGGTTCAAGCACTTCCACAAATGGCTTATTGTATTTAACCTGGTTGAAGGAGTGAGCGTGTGTGTAAATTTTTCCCCCACATGGCATAACCTGAAATGCTTGTTTACAAGACATAAATGAAAGTGCTTTCCTACTGAACGTGCCTGCCACCACTGTGGTATCGAAACTATCAGTGAAGCTGCTACACTTCGCTTAAGGTGCTCCGTGACCTAACCTGGCTAGTCTCAGAACCACGCTCTCCTAAGTTTCCTGCTCAAACTAAATAATTATAGCTTCTTTGAACAGATGTCAGATGGTCCTACGCTGAGTGAGCGGAGTCAAAGCCAGAGCTGCTCAGAACAGCTCAGAGGATGTGATACAAGAAACTACGCTGCATATCCCCGCATCCTTCACAGTCTAAAGGTGACACGGTAGCCATTCATAATCTTTTAACAGCCTTTTTTTTTTCCCCCTTTTGTTATATTTTTTGTGAGAAGCAGCTACTATATTCCACCCAACAGATAAACAACTCAGATGCCTGTCATACGTGAATGGACGTGGAGCGATGTATGACTCGGTGAAACCACGGACAGGTATTCTTCTGCAGACAGCAACCTGACATAAAGCACCTAGAAGCTGATCTCAATAGCTGTGACTAACAACAGTGGGAGAGACGGTTTCTCAAGTAGCTGAATTCCAGACCATTCAAGGCTCACCTTAAATCGCCCCCTGAAACAAATGCTACCATAAAAACTGTCTGGGTTCATATGTAACACTTTAAAAAGCCATATTTGACAGCTATGTTGTCATAACTGTGAAATACAGACCTCCTCTACTTCAGAGCTGTGAAATATTACTTCTCTTTCCTGCTTAAGGAACAGATGCCTGTGAATTATGATGCTGTAATTCCATTGAGGGGTTCCAGGGATGTCAAACCACAAAGGCAAAGTCTGAACGGTTCACAAAGTTACCTGAACAGAGCGGTGGAATTACAGCCCTGTCATGCAAAAGTTACCTTTTTAAACGTGCGTGAATCTACATCTTTTTCCTTGCATCTTTTCTTCTCTTTCTTTTCCCTATATACTCGTTCAGCCTCTCAACCCACTCTCCTGTTTTTCCTCAGGCCTCCTCTTCTTTCTCCAGGTGGAATACCACTCCCACCTGATTTTGGAATGCAAATTAGTTGTTCAAAGGACCATCTGATTCTGAAAAGTGGTCTGTTTTTCTAAAAGCTTTTTCCTAGCGGGTGCGAATGTAGTGGTGAATTCATCTAACATCTTTACAGCCTCCCAGAAAACCATGCCAATAACATTCTGAGTAAGAGCAACATTTGAAAGAAAATTAACAAAAGACTCTGAAGCCATGGGAACATTTTCACATACCGTTACCAAAGGCAGCTGCTAATGTTATTGCCGGTACTCTGCTTTTGGCTGCACAGCCCTGCCAATGACATGCCAAGATGCCTCAGCTGACCTTCATCATCTTCAGGACCAAAGACATCTTTGTAAGGACATGCAGTCGCCTCTTTGCTATCTAGGGGACGGGGGGGAGATGAGATAGCCTGCACAGCTGGAGACCTGGGTGGCATAAAAACGCCTGGGAAAATCCTGGAGATTTACGTACCAAAGGCAGCCAGCTCAACTCCAGCCACATGAGGTAGCCAGGGCACACAACCCAAAATATGGCTCTTGCAGAACCAGCTCACATGTGTCCATACCATGTGCCTCCCACCTGCTCCGATAGCAGGCTGCTGAAATCCTGGGAGTTACTTCAGGTGTCTTTGTACCCGTGGAACATTTTACTCACAAATCAGATTAGTGGAACTTGAGGGGGGGGGCGGGGGAAAACTGAGTTTTCAGCTTAACCACAACAAAAAAACCCCACCAAAACTTATTATCTTACGGCCTTCTGAAGACAAGAATTCACTGAGCCTGAGTTTGCACTTTATATCTCTACGCCAGACTCCCCAAATCTCCAAAGCAAGATATTAAAGATTAATATTTTTTAATAATAAATCTCAACAACAGTCAAGGGGTACAGTCTAATGAGCACAAGCCCATAATATTCACTTACTACTGCATTTTTATTCTAAAATACTGATTGCTAAAAGACTGGATATAAAAATCCCATCAACATATACGGTTTATGGTTATCATTACATTGATTAGTTGTTTTAATTTGAGAATTTTGGATATGAATCCCAGTTCCAGCACATAAAATTTTCCATTGAAAGCAGATTTTGGCATTCTTTGCATGAGATACAGTGGTTAGTGTTAACATGCAACCAAAAATTTTATGCAGGCAAATAAACTTACTTCCTTTTCTTTGGGCTCACTTCCAAAACACTGTTTTTAATATATGATGTACAAATGTCCCATAACACTGTTTTATATTAAAAGCATGAGCCAGAAATGTCCTCTGAGAACACTTCTTAGGTCAGTATTTTTCATTTGTTATTATTATTCATGCCTACATACCTATATGGAAATATAGAATCACCTACAACATATTTAATTTCTTCAGAGGACAATACTTCAGGAACAAAATTTAGCACGTCCTACTAAATGGTGTGAACACACTGAGAAAGATTTATTCACTTGACTCCTCTTAAGAACACTAGTTGCAGAAACATTTTGACCTTCTACTCAAAAAGCTGAACATGGTTAAAAAAAACCCAGATGATCGCACGAAGCTGCGTGTGCTGATTTTTTTCAGTTAACACATGTGGATGGACGTTCTCAAGCATCTCAGTGAAGCCAGGCGTTCAGATAACGTACAAGTCAAAGCCAATCTCTCTCACGCACTGGAATATACTGCACTTTCATTTCTGACAAATCTGGATTTTACTACTGTTTTAGCGACAGACTCCATTCTCCCTCTGTGAACACACACACACACACATCTCGCCTCCTTTCTAGGATCATTAACGCACTGCAACCAGGAGCGTGACTGCAATTTGCAGATGAAACAGGATTAGAAGCTCATCCTACCAGGGATCTACTTTGGTACAAGCCCCACGAGGCTGCGAAGAACTCCCAATGTACCAGGAGGTGGTTGGCTTGCACCGAAAGCCCGTGATGATTTTAACTACAACTGGTTGGTTTCACTTAGTACATGGATACACTCCTTGAGGAGTGCTGTAGACATAATTACGCTGCAACAGAGAGGCCTCTTTGCCAGTGATAAATGGTACTTCAAAAAAAAATATGCAATAATGTAAAATCCACTCCAAAAACTCAATTGTGAGAAATGTGGGTTTCTCCATTCACTTTTGTTACACAAAATATTCACATCTGTGGGTACTCTATGCACTTGCTGTAAATAGAACGCAAGATCAGAATAATTTTCAGGTATATTAAGAAACAAATGGCATTATTACTACAAGTTTCCATTTCTGCTGGGGTTTGTTGGGTTTTTGTGGGGTTTGGGAGGATGGTTTGGATTTTTACCTGAACCACTGTAAGACGATGATGAAGGTGTTCGCCTTGAAAAGCTTTTCACAGCAAGACTCTGCCCTCGCTGTTTCCGCCTCCAAGCCGTTCGGCATTTGGAGTCTATGCTTTGCTTGATTCGATACCAGTCAGATTCTGTGATTCCAAACTTGTAAAATAGGTGACCTGTAATTAGAGAGGAACACAAAGGGGTGAAAATAGAATCATAGAATCACTTTGGTTGGAAAAGACCTTTGCGATCATCAAGTCCAACCTTTAAGCTAACCCTGCCATCCCACCACTAAACCCTGTCCCTCAGCACCTCATCCATCCTTCTTTTAAATCCCTCCAGGGATGAGGACTCAACCACCTCCCTGGGCAGCCCCTTCCAGAGCCTGACAGCCCTTTCGGTGAAGAAGTTTTTCCTAATGTCCAACCTAAACCTGCCCTGGTGCAACTTCAAACCATTCCCCCTCGTCCTATCGCCCGTTACCAGGGAGCAGAGGCCGACCCCCCCCTCCCTACAGCCTCCTCTCAGGCAGTTGTAGAGGGCCATCAGGTCTCCCCTCAGCCTCCTCTGCTCCAGACTAAATAACCCCAGTTCCCTCAGCCGCTCCTCGTATGACTTGTAAATCAGCCTAAATCTGTATTTACAGGAAAATGCATAGATGACACGCTGTCACACCAAGGTGAACAAGGCCACTCTGAAAATGTTAGAGCTGCCCTTGTGCTTGACACTGCCTAAAGGAATACCATGACATTACGACAAACACCAAAGCTATGCAGTGATACGATTTCAACAGCTATTCACAAAATGAAGTAACCATACGTATGCACAGTTACGTATTTAAAAATGTCAGTGGTCTGTGAAATTTTCTAATCTACATTTCTACCCACGGAAATCGCGCTATTACATTCAAGCTGTGCAACACTGACCAGCAGAAGGATCCAGCACTGCAAAGCCAAAACTGGATAAAGCTTTGTTTCTCACTGAGAGTGCCCCACAATACGTGTAAGGTAAGTCTGATAAGCAGGAAGCCATATAAAGCTCCGTATTAAAAAACAAACAAACAAACAAAAAAAAACACCACAAAAAAGCCCCCCAAAAAACTCTTTTAAAGCTCAGTTCAAAATTCATCAGAATCCAATAAAAATGCAACACAAAACTAGAATCTTCTGAAAGTGTTACTACTCGTATTAAGTCATTTAAAGACCCACATCATGCACGTTCCAGCATTTGGTGCTAAGTTGCCAAACTCTTGTAGAAACACAACGTTGACTCGTGCTTCAAACTGATTATTTTGAAACAAAACTCGTGCAGATTGAGTCTTGCTGCCAACTCAAACCAGGTTCGTTATCACGTGCAAGCTCTGCACCCGAAGGGCAAGCCTAGTTATACAGGAAACAGAGGGAACAAAAAGACTTTCAGGTGCAACAAGGAATCCTTGTTTCAACATCTGGACAAGTGGCTTTAAAGCTGGGAAGGAAAAAGTAAATCCAAAGGTTCAGAACCTGTGAATTAGAACAGAACTATCTGAACATTCAACATTCTCTAAAACTTCAGTGCTTCTAAGCTTTCCAGGTTTAGACGTGCAATACTGCAGTTAAAAAGCAATGCAAAGCTGTCCTATATGCTTTTACTCAACATGACTATGCTTGAGGGGTCTCCAAGGTTCTTATTTTCCTTTAAGTATCTGCTGTTTTCCATACCCCGCTAAGTAAAATTATCTTTTCAACCTACTGGGTTTTCGATTCTACTCTCAAATAGGATCCGGATCCTGTGAAGTACTTGCTTAAGCTGTTGTATAGTCCTAGCAACAGGATATTTGTGGCCTACAGCTGCAAAATTCCAGGATTGCACAAACTAAGGGCTTTGTACTTTCATTTGTATTACCAGTGAGCCCAGAGTCCTCAGAAATGACAACCTTACTGATAGTAAGTTAGTAAGATAGTTAAGTGGAGTCCTGGATCTCTTAAGTCATCATCATTTTTTAAACACATTTCTTTGCCAATGTTTTAAATAATTTTTTTATCGATCTGTTCAAAAAGCAGTTTGAAATAAAGTAGAGCACATACAGGAGGAAAACGTTGGCATCAAAAAGCTCATTCAAAAGTGCCTTAAAGGCCCCAAGATTTCTCCCTGGCAAGTGACAGCAAGCACGTTACTTAGAGGTTGCTTTACAACGCCCACATTGTGTCTCCAAAAAGAGGGTGGGAGTAGGGAAGGAGGAAAATCCACTGAAATCATCATCGCTGCTGTGCAACAGTTTCCTTTCCATAGGTGTCAGCAAAAGGAAAGCACATTCCGTATTGTAAATACTGAGACCGCATTTCTCAGTGTAATCTCTTACTGATAGGCACTACACAGAGAAGTGGGTTTATAAATGTTTGCAGCAATGTCCAATAAAAACAGTTGTGCTTTAACCCTTCATACGACTTCAGCTATCGCTACATATAAAAGTACTTGTGCACTCCTACATAAAACACAGTCGTATGCTCTGTGGTTTTTTTTGAAAAAATATCCGTATTTCATTCATAAATACATTTTAATGACTTTCACATTGTATGCTGCTCTGTTTAGAGAAGGGACTGAATCAACGGTAGGTCAGAGGAAACTCTCATAGAAAAGTGTCTTGCTAGGAATTTTAACTACTACAGCGTCATTCATGGGATATGCCAGGGTGTCACTTAAATCAAAGAGAAATCAAAAGCCATATAGGTTATTTGGGACCAGATAGTCTCAGGTGCGGTGAGATCTTCATATGAGGAGACCCAAGCCGTGCAGGACAAGAGCTTGAAAAAGATGATGAGTGCCAGAGCTGTGACATAAAACGTCCCAGAAATTGCTTTATTGAGGAAAGAAAGGAAAAGACCACCTCCTACTTAGGGATCGCAAAAGCTGTCATTTAACGAATGTGATAAGGAATGGCCATGAAATACTGGATAGAGAGATCACTACCTTCATGCAGAGAACATGACGACACAGGAAAGCATGGAAAATAGAGAACAAGCTACACAGGGTAGAGTCAGGGAAGATTTTAGGCTAGAGAGACCTAAGACAGCAGGCACAGATTTTCAAAGCCAGGAGTGCTTATTTCTTTTCCCTCACTCATTAAACTCCTACTTAGCTGTTACAGCGGTCAAAGGTGTAAAACTGATACAGATGAAACGCCTGCTGTTTGCACAGATTTTTACCATGACTGCATACTCGGTTACAGTAACTGCATGGGCAAATTAGGCATGAAAAATTAGCCCATAAGTACAGAGATAGTTGATATAAAGGTTAAACGAATTTCAGATGTATAAATCTATCCAGTTGGTATTACAATCTAAAATGTTATTCTACGAACAGGTCTTTAGCAACCACATTTCATAACAGTCCACCGATGACTGAAGAAAAACCTAATGCTAATGACAGTGGAGTATTTTGTAAGTAGATAAAAAGTTCACCATAACATTAGAAATATGATTTACCTGTAGTAGAAAGAGACATCCCGAAAACATGTGCAAACAATTTTAGAAAACTGAAGCGTGCTGACTTTCTGTTCTTTATCCATAAACGATCACATGCAGGAGAGCTTTCGGCTGTCTCATTCTGACTATGTCAAATACCAAAACCAGTTAGAAAGGCAGCACTAAAGCAAGATTCAGCAAATGAGACCTTTAACTTTGGGAAGCCCGTATTAGAAAAGACAGAAATACTTCAGTGAGAAGGGATTTGACTTCTTCAGAACGTTTGCTAGTCAAAAGCAGCCTGAAGCACTGTAATCTGCAAGGAGCACAGTATCTATGAGCCCCGTAACAACCCCGCTAAAAACACGCAAAAAATACATTCAGCAATGTAATTCAGCACTTTGGCAGCAAGCCAACAGGATTTTGGAAGGCAGATGCTCCTATACAAGAGCAGGGAAGGAAAGGGTTTAGATCATCTAAGGATGGCTGACTGGGTTTTTAGCCATCTTTTCATTTAGGACAATGAATGGTTGCCGGTAACATTCAAAACAAAGGATGTGCTTGTTTTTAAACACCGAGTCCAAAGTTTGCTTGCTTTGGGAACCTCACTTGCTAAACAAAGCTTTCTATGAAAACACACCAGAGACTTAAAACAGTTCAATGATTTAACAAACTGCAAGAGCTTGAGCGATTTCTATAGACCAGGATACAGACCAGCAGCAGCTTGGGGGCCAAAAAGGTCTGCACGAAGAATTCAGAGACACGGGCTGCGCTGAAATGCGCAGAGGAAATCACTTTGGTTTGAAGACTTGAACGTTGGTTCTTGCTTTATCAAGCAAAAGCTTAGGAGGAAGGCATGAGGAAAATTAAAGAAGTCAGGCTTGAAAAGCCAGCAGGTGCCTCATACGAAGTTTTGCCTTCCACATCCTAGATTAGAAACACAGCACGTTTTTGCCTAAGTCCCTATAAAAAAGAAAACGAAAAGAGAAGACTGACACAAGAAGTTCCAGAATGCTTCTTTCTTCTGCACCGCAAAATAAATATTTCTGGGGTTCAAAGAAAAAAAAACAGCAGCTTGGAAATGCAGTGAAAATGATCTGGTACAAATACAAGAATCGTCAGCAATGATGTCTGAAATGACTTATATACTCCCAAAGTTTTGGAGCATCTAATGTACAAAACAAGGGGAGAAAGGGTTGGTTTAAAACCAGGGCTAATTAGGGAAAAAAAATAAAACTCGATGAAAACAATGTTCCTGAGAAAGTAATCCTCTCTCTCTTAAAGGTCAGAAGTCAGTCAGCAGACGAAACAATCCACATAAGACATTAAATTGTAAAGAAATTTAATTAAGAACAAATTGAGGAGGAAGAGAAGACATTTGCAATATCAAAACCAGACATGAAATATTCCATCTTGATACCGCGTTCAAAAGCAGCCTCCTAGAAAACAAACTTCACGTCAACAGCTGGCATTTGGGGATTGCTAGGTTGTGCTCCTTCCCATCCTCCACAAATACCACATTTCTTCAGAAAATTAAAAGGTAAATCATTATTTTCATGGACTTGGCAGCATTCCCTTTGCTGCCGTTCATAGTGAGATGGCACGGACCTTCCCTCTGTTACATTTTGAAAGATTAGGGAAAGTGTTACCCCCAGAGAATCTAACAGCCACATGTAGAAAATAAAGACATATTTACATGAAATGTGTAATCCAAACAGATTTGGTTAACTGTT